TAATTTATTTTTATTTTGTCAATTAAAATTTAGTTTCTATTGAAATTTTCAAACCCAACTATAATCCGTGAATCCGGACTGATCGAAGCCGCGGGACCTTTTGATGAAAATATTATTTTTTATATTAATGTCTTGATAAAATATTTTTTGCCAATTTTTTTATAATAATTATTAATTTTATATTGAATATTTTTGTATACAAAGTGTTTATAAAATATTTGATAGTTTCATTATACGAATATCACTATTTGAATCATGCCATGGAGTTGGGGCATCCTTGAATGGTCGTCAATGATCAGCATGTCCCGTGAATTTCAAAGGAAATCGTTGCACCGGAAGGCACGTTCTTCGCGAAAGCTTCGCAAAGAAAGAAAGAACCCAGGGTGAGATGTCCTGCGACACATATCCTGCAGATAGAACGGCTTCCTGCGCTCCCTTCAAAACTATTTGAGTGGAAAAGAATTTGAAAATGAGAAGTCGACCTCGAGTCGAGAGAGGAAATTAAAACATTCCTTCATATCAAAACCACTAGATCTCATTATAAAAGTCAATGATTGCAAAGTCACAAAAACGAAATGAAAACTTGTTATAACTTTTAAATTTAATATTATCTATGTCTACACTTCATTCAAAGAAATCTTATATATTGTAATAAATAGACATTTTAAAAATCTATAATCATTTAATTTATTTAATATACTTTAATATCCAGTTACAAATGATTGATGTTTTTTTTTTCTTTTACACTTTTTTGTATATAATTATTTATATAACTTTATTATTGAATTAATACAAAAGAGTTTTATTAATTAAACTGTTAAATATAATAAAGGTCGTTACCATTTGGCTGAAATTATAAAAAATAATTAATCAAATAATTCATAAAGTATATCTATTAATATAATTGATTTAAAGTCAACTTTAAAACTTATTTAATGTTATGTTATGTTGGTAACTTTTCAATAGTTATATTTACTTATCACATCTAGTTGTACATAGTTCGTATTTGTGGCCCGTTGCCCATTTGCTTATCAATAATATTTATGGTTGTAAGTTATCATTATAACTAAGAAGTGTGTTCGATAACTAGTTATCGAGTCAAAACCGGACGGCCACTATTCTCAAACACTGTAACTACTTTGGAAGGAATCCAGAACGCTTGGAAATCGTTGTAACGTGTCCCTACAAATATTAGTTTCATATGTTCAACATAATAGATTATTAATATCACATCTATAATAAAATATATCAATTTATTTATGTTTTCTTGAGTTTAAAAAAGAGTAATGTTCGTTTTTTTATTCATTCATTGATTAATGAGTTATTTATCAAGTTTAATTAAGTTTTATATTTTGAATTTGTTACTAATTTTGTTTATTTATTTGCAAAATTAAAATTTATTTAAATTTATCAGACATTATCAAACTATATCGGAAAATAGTTTATTACATAAATAAACATTAATTTAAAACCACAATCTTTTCATTTTTTTTAACTATATCAAATATTACATAATCAATTTATTGTTTAGTAAGATTGTGTATGATACCGATACACGGTATGTGAATAGATGGGTTAATGTAATTGGTCAGTCGGTAATATCCTTAGCGAATCTGAGGATTTACGTTTAATCATGCGAACATCGCTTTGCTGGATTTTGGAGTGGATTATTGGATGATAGCATGTAGGCACATTTGGCAAGGGTCGCGTAATTGCATTATTTTGCATCTAAAAAAAACTGTCTCCCTAACGACGACTTCTGAATATAATCGTTTCTTAGTCTATTTTGACTAAATGTATATCATTTTCAACATTTAGTTATAATGACTGCAATTAATATTCAATTATATATGTGTTTTTATATACACAAGAAATTATAATAATATTTATTGCAACAATAAAACACCAACATATAAACTCAATAGAATAATATAACAAGAATAAAAAAAATCAAACTGCTACAAATGACTATTAACCTATTCCTTCTTATTAAATTTAATATTAATAACATTCTTAGTCGACTTACTTATTGTTAAAATCAAGTAACTAGTAAAAAAGACACTAGTTCATTATAAATTTATGTTTTATGTTTTCGTTTCTAATAAGGTTTTCTAAATCTTTACTGAAAAATAATCATCTTTTGTATTCAATAAATTTCTACATTCTCTTCTTCTATATTTTCGAAACATATTGAGATGATTGAATAACTTCATTTCTAATTCCTTGGATTGTTTTCTTTTCAGAGGTAATGATAACCTAAATATGCTTGTAAATATTTCTGTGCTTATTAAGGTCTTGTTATGAAGTTTGGGTATATTAAGGTAAAATTCGGTCAATTTTGTCTGTATCTAAACAACCAAATATATATAATTTCGTTTTCATTTCTAACTTAATGTTTTCTGCAGTTTTTCTGTATTAAATTTGATGATCCTAAACCTAATCCCAAATTTTGTCTTTTTTTCAGAACATTGTAATATTTTTTTAAAGATTCATAGAATCTTAATTATTATTACCCACTATAATTTACTTTTACTCTTTTTTGGGTAATTTACCACGGTTTTCCCTTATCTAAAGTAATACAAGCAAACTGATCAATCATTGTCTATCATTCAATACAGTTGCTGTAATGCATGTTACTGTAACGAATCTTTGTGTTCTATTATATTTCTTGTTCTGTTAGTATATAAAATTAGTATAGTAAATTGCTGTGTTTGTATTACCTATATTAACCTATTTTTGCCCAAACACCAACAAAGCACTTTTTTTTAAATACAAAAATTCGGTGTACACGAGTGGGTCAGCTGATAGTTTCCATGCGTTCTTCATAGTTAGGTTCAACATATAGGTAAAAAGTAACCACCACAATTTCTTGCCATTTTCTTGTTATAATTTTTGAACGTAGAACAAGTAAATCATTGATGTTATCAAATAGAAAATCAAAAGTACTTCTTAGTTATTTTGATAATACCTTTGACTATTGTAACAGAGACTTCGACATTCTATTTTCTCTAATGGTTGCTGTTGCTCTAAAGCTCTTTTCGGTCAGAGTTTTCATCAAGTGCAGAGTAATGTCTTACTTTTATAGTTATATTATATAATTCTACTCATTAAAAAATAAATATACAAGTACAAGTTTTAGCTACTTTTCATTAAATTTGCCGAACATTTAATAAATACTGCTTACCTGCTTGGGTAGATTGGGCAAAAAATAGGTTAATATGCATAGAAGGTAATTGAAATATAGTTTTTCATTTATAAAGTCAACAAAGTAACAACAGAGAGTTATTAAATTATTAATGAAACGCAACGACGCGGTATGTGAACAACAAATGACGTTGCTGATGCAGTGTTAATTATTTTGTTCAGATGGGGCGACTGGGACAGGTGGGCAAACGAAACCCGGGGGTGTTGCGAAGGTAGACAAAGCGCTAACGAGGGGCGGCAGTCAATATATCCCCGCACGCTAGTTTCAATCATGCCGGGGTTTTGAAATTTAAGTGAACTGTAAAATAATCACGCCGCCTTTCATTATTAAAAGGCAACGCCTTCCCACCGCTTCGTCCTTGCATGCAACCATTTCCCTCTACATAGTTTACTAAATATCGGGTGGAAAAGTTTCGAATCTCACCCCCTTCTCACGCTGAGAAAGTTTCGTCGACAGCAAGAAATTATTATTATAATAAATTAAATCGAACCTCGATGCCAAACAAAATTCTCTATTAATTTTTAATATTACCATCATATGAGTTACTAGGGGGTCGATAAAGGTAATCACGTTGCTATGGTTACACAAGTCTCTCTCTCTTTCCTGTGTCCACGACTCTTGAGATTAATATTTCTCTTATAAATTGAACGCTCTTTGCTCCAACCACAATAAACTTAGGGGACCAGAGCCATCGTTACCAAATACAAATTGCGAAATATATCATGCAACTACCGTTTTCCCCTCTCTCTTTACGATCTTTACTTTTAACAAAGGAAAAGGAAAACAACTAGTGTATTCTACAGCAGAAAATAAATCACAGTATTCATTTTGATGTTAAGTGATTGCTACCATTTTTTTTTTCATAATAAATTTATATGTTAACTACAATCATGTTATAATAATAACTTAAACTGTTTAATATTTAGTAAATATTTTGTATATTAATTATTCTTAATATATCGTAACTTAACCCTTTACGGCCTTAGATTGATTGCATTTTCAATTGTGCTTTGCAAAATTCTATATATCAAATTTTTCTGCAGAACTAATGACAAAACTAGCGACTCCTCGCTTTGGTCTAGGATTTGATGAGTGCACCACCACAGTGGACAATTATAAAATTTTACATAAACATAGTCTCCTTTGTAAAGAATATGGCATTTACATCCGCCGCAAGTCCTAAAAGATTTAAATAGATTCTGTAATTATCAAACAATGGTATGGTAATACATACATCGTATAAGAGTGTGGTATCAGTAAAATACCTTTTTGACTTTACAATATAAATTTTTAAAAAGGTGGTTTCGTCATGATACCACTAGGACTGAAAGCGTTAAATAATTACCATTATAGTTATAATTAATAAGATACAACATATTACTGTATTATTTTATAAACTAATTATATAACTAATATTTTATTATTTTTTGTTATATATGACTAAGCTGAAATTAGATAACTTTTGTGTAGTCATCTACTTACGTTTATTGAAATTGACAAAGCATGTAAACTATTGTAATTCAATTAATTTGATACGCCGCATTGATGTAACTTAATGTAAATGCATTTGGGTCTGACTGCAATGAATATGTAATCTACCTCCATGTAACAATAACAACGTGCATCAAGTTCTTGCTTGTACAGTATCATGTGTAACGTATGAAATAAATGTATTATTAATTTATTGGTCACGATCGTTCGACGTCCACCAGAAATCATAATGCAGGTCGCCGCAGCGGGGGCTGTAACTTAATTAACTCGTGTAATTAAACTCTCATTAGAGGCAGTGATTCTGATGAGCGAGGCGAGGGACGAGGAGAGCGATGAGAGTCAGGTTCGGTCGGATGGACGCAACGAGAGCTGCTGGTGTGAGAGTCGGAGGCGGCGGCGGCAGCGTCGACGGCCGGCACTGAATATGCAGATTGGACGGCCGCCGCCGCATAAACGGCACACGTTTAACGTGCCCGGATTCCCGAACGGATTGAAAGAGGCGGTAGGGATCATTAAAGAAACGAATAAAATATGCCCTCGCATTAATTGATTTCTCCTCCACGTCCATTTTTTCTGATTTATTTTTTTGTTTTGTTTGTTTTTCGTTCATTCTGCGTGTGTAGCTGTCTTTTTTTTGTTGTCTTCGGTTTAGCAAACTGCGCGCGGGGGCGGCTGTTAGCGTGATAAAGCGTAGCTTATAGCCAGTAACACGGGGGCCTCGCATCGCATGAGATGCGGCACGTTCGTTAAATATTCCGTTATCGCCCAGCAAAATCGATGGGCAAGGCCTGTATTTTCATAATCAAATTTCGTGCCACGTTTGAGGGCTCAACGTACCGGAAGAAGGCATCCAAGCATCCGTGTCTTTGGCAGATACTAAAAAAAAAACGAATGAATATATACACACACCGTTGCCGCCGCCACCATAATTCATGGCTTCGTTTATAATCCGTTTTACTCCGTCTAACAGATATTATTTGTCTAATACCATCACGTTTAGTGTCATGTTTTGTAGCCATGGGGGATCAAGACAAATGGTTACACATTTACATTTTTTAATTAAAAGACAGTCACCGCCACTTAACCTAAGTTTGATTATTTATAGACTTCTAACACTTCTAACGTACAAATATTCGCACGAACGTACACATATTAGTACGTACTTAAATATATTTATATTAACGTAGAAAGATCCAACTAATCTGCTATTGTTTTAATTTTTTTTACATTTAACCAAATCTGATTAAGGTAATCTATATTATTTTCCTAATATCATACAAATAGCGAAAAACTATCATGTTGGTGATAAATCGAATTCGTGCTAACGTACAAATATATCTTATTAGTTGCATCTATTTGTGACATTTATTTAAATCTATTGAGGTTATCTGTTTCTCTTTGTTTAATATAATAAATTGAGATAATATGTTTTATTTACTTAATACGATACAAATAGTGAAAAAATATCAACATCCGATAAAATTTAACGCAAAGACAACGTACAATGATGATATCGAATTAGTCGGCTGTTGCATTCATTTTATGACATTTATTTAAAGCTGTTTAAGTTTATCTGTTTTTCTATTCCTAATACAAAAAACGAAAGAAATAATACCTGCACTATTTGAATAAAATTGAAAACACGTATGAAAATATAAGTGACCTCATTCAAAAATAAATGTTCTGTTTTATAATGATATTTCGATATTTTATGATGAAGTACGTTCGTGCGAACAGCATGTTATTTTCATAATACAGAGTTCGATTAATGTACTGAAATCTGTGTACGTTAACAACGGAAACTGACAAAATATTCAATAGTTGATAACTGGCCATAACATAACTGTACAATTTCATTAGAAGCAAGTTCCGTATTTTTCGGACCATGAAACGATTGAATAAGACGTAACCCAAATTTATGGGAAGATTTTTGAAAAAAATATTTTATTACCTTCAGTCTATAAGACGCAATCCAATTGTAGGTCTATTTTTTCTTTGTAAAAACGTGTATCTTATCGTACTTGATATATATATATATATATATCGACTTTCTGTTTAACTTAAAACATGAGAGTCTTTATAATAATTATAGTTTGACATGTCACTGTATATGACACAATTGTTCCGTTTCTAATTACTAGTTCAATAAACTGCAGTTGATTTTGTTTCGTCTGGCGTTGGTATTAACAACGCATTCAGACATTGCAAACAAAGTAAATAGAAAAAGAGTAGAAAAAGTGAGAAACAACCGCAAACAGGGGATGGCGAAATTAGTTTCCTGGTGGTTGAAAAACGAGAACAAAAATTAAAATGTTATATATAGACATGTTTAACTTTAGACTTTCATTCTGTTTATTAGTGGATTCATAATCCGCTGCTTGGAAACGTCGAAGCGTTTTGCTCCACAGCGCCCGCGTTTTATTCCAAACTCTTCTCTTTTTTTTCTTGTCGAGTTGCCTTCCTTTTTTTCTTTCCTTCCTCGCCCTATCCGAGTTTTCTTTTTAATATTATTACTTTCCGTAATAAATTGCGGTTCTCGATATAATGAGGCTTCGAGTACGGGAAAAAATCTTTCGCCAATTTATTAACTTCGTTATTTCTCAATTTCGACATGACAATACAGTGGATGAGAAGAGCAGACTGTGAACACAATATATATATTCAGGTATAACAGTAATTCATTTTTATAATGTTTAGGTTAGGTTAAGTTTATTATCAAAATATTATAAATATCCCTTTGATCGAAATGGACCAATAAAATATGTATAAATTATAAATAAATAATATATATGTATTCAATTATATAAATAAAATAAATAGGAAGAAATCCTGTAGATCAAAGGACTAACGTCCGCAGTGTTTCTATTCTTGAGTTAACATATTTCAAAACAATTATATAAAGTATTATCCTTCTTTTACAATATACAGGAGAAGAATATGCAAATCTTCACTTATCATACATAGAATGGTTGTACCATTAGACATGAAAACCGTAAACTTATTTCAATTTTAACTTTTTGTACCATAATTCTCTTTTGATGATTTTTTAAATCGCTTACAGAAAACGTTTGCCATCATTCAGTTGACTAATTGTTTAGTTCATTAAAGCCACACAATAACTTATAATGCACCCACAGTGTCACACACACTGTGGGTGCATCATAAGATACATCTTATGGCTATGTTGATATTAAGTTATGTTATGTAGAATAGTTGCAGTGTTACGTCTTAATAACACTACAACTATTGTACATTTTCTCTGTGTGTTCTATTATAAATATTAATAGATGCTATATATGTGAAAGGTCATTAGGCAAAGCAGGTTGCAAAATTATAACATCTATAGTAATATTTTATTGTCTATAGTAGCTATATAAAAAAAACTTATCAATACACATAACTTTAGTTTGCTCAAAATAAATTAGTTTAAAAATAAAGCATTCCGTCGGCCTACGAGTTATTATATTGTTATGTAATACAATAACTATACTTTCTATAAACAAATCTGTCAACCTATAAATTTATGAATGTCTGATATAATTTATGATGACAAGAAATGTAGTAGGAATAAGTTTGATTGAAATATTATATTTTCAATAAAAATGTAAGATAATAACATTCCTATTATTTTTCTCATATAATAAATTTATATTTATTGATTGCATGATTATTCATAACGTGAATGAACCGTAATAAGTGATAAATGAAAGAAAATAAATAAAATAAAAGTTTATTTTAAAAAATATAAATTTAATACAATAATGTACGATGAGAAATTGTTGCAATTTAATTAGTTTTAATATATTTAAACTTTCTACAGAGGAATATGTTAATATATAATTATATTCATCTAGAATATGAATGATTATGTTAGTAAATGCAGTGGAATTGAGTTTCAATGCAATATTTTGTTCTTAATGAAAATAGAAGAATAAAAATACAACATTTGTATAAATTATTTGTTATATTTCATTATTATATATGAATATTTTTAATTATAAAATAGATAAATTAAAGGAATTTATTGAAAGAAAATCTAAATTTTAATATGTAGTAGATTAATTTAAACTTTTTGTTTATCATTAGATGGCACTACAATCAATTTAGTTAATGACGCTAGGTACATATGTGCTGTGTTCTTGAACCACCATGTAATTGAGAGATACGTAAACAAACCATCAGTTTAAGTAAACAAATCAATGTAGTTCTGTAATTTAATCGAATCTCAATAAGGCATGAAACGTTATCATACAGATAATGTAAGTCGTTTAGTCCACTGATTCTCAAAGTGGAGGTCGCGAAAAATTGATGAGAAACGGAATGGTATGTATTTCAACATTTTTCGGGGGTACTTTAAATTTATTAAGAACAGAAGGTAGTCGCGGATCAAAAATTTTGAGAAACACTGGTTTAGTCCATACTTTTGACAATATTAGAGGTACTTACTAAGCTTATCGGTTTTTAAAACCGGTTTTATTTGAATAAAATTATCTAATTCGAAAACCGTTTTTTTAACTATAAAAATTGTTTTTTAAATAAAAAATTGTTGAAATTTTAAAATCTATACTATACTCTAATCTTCCCCCTTTATCAGCTGCATAACTGGAATCCAAAACCCATGGCATTCTTAATGTCCAATCATCAATCCTTCCGTCATCATTTTAGACATGTACGAAAAGTTTTTCAAGAAATACAGTAAGATTTAGTTTAAATGGTAAATTGAATTGAACAAAATGGGAAATAAATGTTTTATATCTTGGATAAATATTTTCTAATGTAATGAAGATGTTTTTCTTTATTTTGTGCCTATTTTTAGTAATAAAAAAACTCCTAAAAGAAACAAATAAGAATAATTTATAAAATATTAATGAAATTTTCATTCTGTTTCCAGGTTGGGTCGAAACGCAAGACGGTTCTTCTGGTGGTGACTTTGGCTGGAATAAAAGTATGCATCCCGGACGGAACGGTGAGTGCGAAATGAAAATATACCTTGACAGCGTTGTATTCCCGTCGCGTATCCTGTATACGCCTTCTTCATCCGTATTCTACTCCTTTTAAAAATTTCATCGCCGAGCGGCGAAGAGAAAAACCTAAAGAAAGAAAGAAATAAATAAAAAAATAGGAATTGCTGCTCCAGGAGCGATGAAATAAAGATTCCCAAATATTCTGAGGGAATCGATGACCGAGCATCTCAAAACTAAATTTCTATTCCCGTTTTTCTCTATCTCATCTTTTTCATTATTTCCACCCGTTTTGTTCCCTCTTCTGCATACACGGCGCTCACTTCCTTTTTCCCTTCTGTCATCATCGAGAAAAACGGGGGTACCTGCATTTTTGTAATCCTCGATCCGGGGATTATTTAACGTCGGGTGCGGGGCTTCGGGTGATTTAAAAAGGATGCATTTTTCATGCGGGCACTTATCTTTAGGTAATAACTTGCAGCCGGTGCCCTCCGCCAGAATGATAATAGCTGTGAGCAATTCCGGGTCACGACACAATGAAAATAACTTCAGGTTATCATACACGGAATCGGCCAGGCTGCGTGGATTAATGTGTATTACAGGACTACTCCGACTATATTTCTCGACTTTTGCATCTATACCAGAACACCCTTTTTCAACCTGCTTCTAATAATTTACATAATTATAATATTACTATACTCGTCCTTGATATATGAAAAATCACTATGAATTAAAATAATTTATAGATTTCTTAGATATTGAATAAATACGATCAAATAGAAACATATGTTTTGTAATATGCAAATTATAGTAAAGTTATTGTTAATTTAATATATTCATTATATAATATGACCATAATTGTTATTACTTATTTTTTGTTAAATTTGGAAATAATTTCTTCTTTTTTTTTTAATTATGTTTGTATTAGCCTCAATTTGGATTAAAGGATTAACTTTCCCTAACAATAATTTAACAATTCATTATTAAAGTTTACTGAAAATAAATTAATTCTTAAAAAATAATTCGGAGCTAATTGTAAGTATTTAGTATATAATAATATTGATTGAGGGTGATCAGTTAACGAACGTTCAAAGACGATGTTCGCAAACCGAATTTTTCGAATAGCGATCATAAGTTTAACAAGCGGCCTAAGTCTCTATCGTTACTTTCTAAAAGTAACATTAAAGTTAAACCACCTTACCAGCCGATTAATTTGTTAAAATATATTCATTCTTAAAATAATAGTTTTAATCTAATTTTCTAGAATAGTTTCTATAATTATATTGATAATGGGTGTTCAGTTAACGAACATATTTTGTTCAAAGACAATGTTCGTTACCTGATTTGTTCATAAACCGATCATCAATTTAACTGTTAGTAATGTTAATTGGTTGGTAAAATGTTCGTTATCCGAATATGTGTTTGTCCTGGCAAATTCTGATTAATTATTATAGTTTGTTGAAAATAAATTCATTCTTAAAACAATTGTTTTGAGCTAATTTTCTACAATTGTTTCTATAATAATATTGATAATAGGTGTTCGGTTAACGAATATAATTTATTCAAAAACAATGTTTTTACCCAAGATGTTCATAAACCGATAATCAATTTAAGAATCGGTTTAATCTTTATAACATCACTAGCGTTACTTCCTCAAAATAATGTCAATTGGTTGGTACAGTGTTTGTTATCCGAATATGTGTTTGTCCTTAGAAATACGTCTAACGAACATCTTATTAACAGATTGATTATGATAGTTTGTTGTAAAAAAATTCATTCTTAAAATAATTGTTTTGAGCTAATTTTATACAATTGTTTCTATAATAATATTGATTATGGGTGTTCGGTTAACGAACATAATTTGCAAAAACAATGTACGTTTCCTGAATTGTTCGTAAACCGATTATCAATTTAAGAAACGGTTTAATCTTTATAACATCAATAGTGTTAGTTCCCAAAAGTAATGTCAATCGCATGATAAAGTGTTCGTTATCCGAACATGTGTTGTTCTGGTAAATTCAGATAACTAACACCTTACCAACCGATTAATTATGATAGTTTGTTGAAAAGATATTCATTCTTAAAATAATTGGTTCGAGTCAATTTTCTAGAATTGTTTCTATAATAATATTGATAATAATTGTTCGGTTTATGAACAAAATTTGTTCAAAGACAATGTTCTTTACTCAAGTTGTTAATAAAAATTCGTTATCCGAATATTTGTTTGTTCGGACATAATAATATTTAGCGAAAGTATTCTTTGTCCGATTCAAATTTGTCCGTAGTTCGAATTATTCATTAACCGATGCAGGTTTTATAGAGATAAATGCAAACAGACACAATAAAATTTAATTAAAATTTTAATGTTGCGAAAACATTTGTCGAAAAAAAATATTATTTTTTTTTTATAAATTGAAAATAATATGCGCATAATAAGTGCATTATTGTGAATAAATGATTATTTATTTTCGTATTAAAGGATTTAGCATTCATTTTCCCCGGAATTTCAAGGATTTAACTGCAACTGTGCTGGGGCGCTTCAACTGCACCTATTTAAAATTTAATTCACCCAAAAATAATCCGCCCAAATATCCAATTATTATATTTCCGATCCGTCGCCGCTATTTGTTTTCCATTTTCATTTAATTACAGGAAATAATTAACGACCGACAGGAATGTTTGTAAAAATATTACATTGAATTAAAATAATAAAAGAGGATGGATAATTGAAAAATTAAAATTTGTTGTATAAAGTCGAAATATCAAGGAAATATTTGTAGTGGTTTCATAATGTTATTGGAAACCAGTAATTGTTTAGAACAGATGTTAGTTGTTACTGTCAAAGTTGTTTTGACAAAGAATAACAATTGTATATAATATTAACTTTGATTTGTTTAAAGTTCGTTAAAGTTCTACTTCATTTTCAAAGCAATTTCTAATTCCTAATACTTATAGATTACATTTATAGAATAAAGTGATCAAAATATTTTATTCTCAAAAAACTAACTAAAAGTTGAAATTACTTAAATCATTAGATAATTAAGTATAAAGGATTATAAAATAAATACAGTTTCGATTAGTCCGGATACACTACAGTTCGATTTAAAAATTTCAAAACAAATTGAATTTTAATAAGAAAAGTAGAAATATAGTAATCAAAATTATAATTGTTATATATACATGTTCGCTCTTTTGCTTTTAAGTCTGTTTTTGTGTATTTTATTTTTGTATGTATTACCCGCACTGTACGATTACCGTTCATACCATTAATATCTAATTATTTATATTGAGTTTTTTTAAATTATTTTCCGTGTTTCAATTACAATTTAATTAATAAAGTTCTCATTTAAATGTAGCTGTAATTTCTAATTTAAAAGTTCAATTGAAAATTTCAAAACTTTTTCAAATTAAAATGTGCGTCATAAAATGTATCAAGATCATCTAAAACTTGAAGTGAAAGTATTAATTCTTTATTGGGGTATATTTTCAATTAAAAGTTAATGCTTTATGTGATTGTAATTAAGAATGTGGATTTAATTATAAATTTGCTTTCTTCATTCATGTAATATTTATTCTCTTTTCGAATTTTGGAAAGTATATGATTTTATACAAACATTCATAAACATCTGTAAAACACAAATTACTAAGTTTTAAATTACTGAAAATAAATTGAATTTCTTAACATATCGTTCCTATTTCACAATCTACATATTAATAAATATTTCTTGGCAAAAAACAACATTTTTATTTATGTTGTTCTTAGTTAAGGTTTAGTTATTAAAATATTTTTATTGAAAACATTCTGAAATTTATTATTTATTTAATATAATTAGAAAAATTAGAACTACTTCTATGCACAAAAATGCACGGAATTTATTTATTTAAAATCTTGGGAAGATCACAGCAATTCATTTATTAACTAATTTGCCAATTTTTTCAAAGAAATTCAAATGATTGTAAAACATTATATACAAAAATTAATACGAGTACATTGAAAATAACAGTATACAAATCTAAAATTATAGAAAAAAATAATTCATTTGAATTTGTAATTTCATAGAAATAAAAAAAAATATGGACAGAATTGTGCATCTTTATCAGATGTATTAATTATTTAATTAATACATTATTATTTTGGGAATATAAAATCAAAACCAAATCTTCATTTGTAATTGTCTTGTATAAAAAGAATCAAGTATAAAACGATTATATCATTGATTCGAAATAATTATAAGTTATTACTAAAATTTGTTAATTTAGGAGTTTTTTTTTTCAGTTGATTGGTGAAACTCAAATCAAAGTAGAGTAAAAAAATATGCGCTTCAGTTTTCAATTGCGTTTGTAAGAATTAATGAACGCGGTAGCAAAGAGCATATGCGAGGGGGTAGAAAATTGAATTAAACTGAAGTGTTTAAAAATCCCGCATTAAAATTAATTAATTAATATGAAACAAAACGAGCAAAAAAAAAGCAGCAGCAAGAAAGGAACGCGTTCGTTCCGACGTGGACCCCTGAAGTGGGCTCTCTAATTTACTTTCACTTGAACAGAAGTTCGGTTCATGGAATTGAAACAATCATCTAAATAGGAATATAAATTATGAAGTAATAATGGTAGCTGCATATGCGTGTATACGCACGTGCATTCAATGAGCTTTCGAGCTTTAAATAGGGCTCTTCTCTTGTACCTGTGTATGCCTGTGGATCAAGAGGGTGGAGGAGCAATAAAAGTGCGTTTTCCTCCCTCGATTCGTGGATGCGGTGACGCATGACCCAGAAGCCCATGTAATTTCCAACGCAATCAACGATCACCGGGGGTGGCTGCACGCAGAAACCACTAATTACTACCCCTACTGTTAGTATATATATTTTTGCATTTATATGTATATATGTGTATATATATGTATAAGTTGGAAATATTTTCGTTGATTAAAAAAAGGGAAATGAAGGAAGCGAACAAAACGTTTGGATAGTAGATGGACACGCAGAGGGTGGGAAAAAGAAAAAAG